CTGAGGCCGCGTCCCACATACAGCAACTAGAAGGATGTGCAACTACCACATACAACTAGATCCTGGGGCCTTGGGGAGAAAAAGGGAAAGAAAAGGAGGAGAATTGGCAATGGATGTTAGCTCAGGGCCCGTCTTCCTCAGCAAAAAGAGGAGGATTGGCATGGATGTTAGCTCAGGGCTGATCTTCCTCACAAAAAAAAAAACAAACATGAAGCCACAATCCAGGTTAACCTTGATTCACATTTTCTAAATCCTTCAGACTTTCTCTGCGTATATGCATATATGGATTTTTTTGTGTCTATGATGAGATTGAACAAATCATATGCTTTTTTTAAGTTATCCAGCTGTTACTTTTAAGATGCACTTTATCAGGGGTTCTAAAATCTTTGAGATTTGAGATAATGTGAACATTGTTTTATATTCAGAATATTTCAGGCAAGGAACTTGTTCCTCATTTTGATAAAAACTTAGAGCACAGTGGTTTAAGTGCTCAAGTCGTGGAGTCAGAATTCCTGGGCTCAAATCCTGGCTCTTCCATTACTGGTTTCTGACCCTGGACGTGTTAATTAACCTCTCCGCACCTCAGTTTCTTCACCAGTAAAGTGGGGAGACTAGTAGTGCCTGTTTCATAGGGTTGTTGGAGAAGTCAGTGAGTTAAATGCCTGTCAAGTGCTTAAAACAGGAGCTGACATACAGTCAGTGTCCTGTAAGGGTTGATAACATAATTGTTAAAGTCGCGTAGCCAGTTTGAATGGCTTTGATTTGACCTGTTGTATATTTAAATCCATTAACAATTTATGTAATTGGTGTTTGCGTAAATGTTGTTTTAATATATTTGGTAGAACCCATTAATGTTGGCTGCTGTTATCATCATTATCATCATCATCATCATCTACTCTTTAAACATTGCCTGCAGGAAGTGTTCTAAAAGTCTGAAGGAATGTTCTGGAGGTGCATTTCAAATCCTTGGGGAAAAGATTTATTGTTCAGTGACTGTCTTGGATAACTGGGTAACTCTTGAGAAGAAATAGTTAAATTCTGCACATCCTACCATAAACCAAAATAAAATCTAGATGCAATTAAAGCAATAGCAGACTAAAAGAAAATACACTTGAATATTTAAAAAAATTTTTTTTTTCCCCCCAAAGCCCCAGTAGATAGTTGTATCTCATAGTTGCACAGCCTTCTAGTTGCTGTATGTGGGACGCGGCCTCAGCATGGCCGGAGAAGCGGCGCGTCGGTGCCCGCCCGGGATCCGAACCCGAGCCGCCAGCAGCGGAGCGCACGCACTTAACCGCTAAGCCACGGGGTCGGCCCCACTTGAATATTTTTAAAACCGTAGGATGAGGAAGACTTTTCTAAGCCTGTGTTAGAATGGCTAACCCTCTGTGAATTGTTCTGTGAATTTCTTGGTAGAATTAAGAGAAGGTCCTGAGATCTCTCTTCTCCAGTGGTCATCCTGCAGGCATATTGGTTTACTAATTAGGCTGCGATTTCACCTTACTGGCAGTGAAAGTGGCATCTGCCTATCCTGCTGGGTAATCCAGCCTGGGAACCAAGGGGGGTGATTCAGCCTTCACTATAAGGGTGTTCCCTGTGGTTAGATAAACTGATCTGTTGCTTGGTAACTACAGGATTACTCTGGTGGATGCTCAGGAAGCCCATTCGAGAGGGGTTTGGGTATTTGGAGGGCAAGAAAGGCAAGAAAGTTGCCAGGTTCCTGGGAGAAGTGCAGCTTGGCGGGAGAAGGAATCGAGCCCACATGTGCTCATCGTGTGCTTGGGTTTAGAACATTTCATCTTCCCATCTGTACTTTGCCTTTTCAGCACTGGGCCTCAGAACAAAGGAAAAGCAGGCTGTGAGCTGGCCGAGGGAAAGGTGGGTCCCCTTGGGGTGGCTGCTGTGACAGCAGGGGAAACCCCCACAGGGTTGACCCGAGGTTCTCCCCGCTAAGGAAGCAGTCTGGGTGTGGGTCTGGAAAGTGTGAACCTGTGCTTGCTCTCTGGACCACCAAGAGCCTGGGAGTTTGGCTTTGGGTCCCAAGTCGAAAGTACATTGACTGGAATAAAATCATAAAATAACTAGGAAATTTTGAGATATAACCTCAAGGCAAGCAGGACCATCTCAAGACCTGCTTTCTAATGGCATCCTCTACCGCAGTGTGGACTTGAAGGTCCTTAGTAAGTATGCCTGTGTGGCACGACACCCCCCCCCAGAGGTTACCTTCCGCTGCCCCAGACCAGCTGCATTTGTCTGGGACGGGACGGATCTTGTGTCTGTCGGAAGTGGCCCGAGTGACATGTGTGTCTACCTGTGTGTCACGTACGTTGGGGCAGTCTTCTGCGCCATCTCTTCCGCTGTCTACTGGACCACCAGTCCGAGGACACAGGCACGCAGCCGAGGGCCTGGGCCAAGTGTGCCGCCCTGCAGTCTGCGCTTGCTCTGTCGGCAGTTAGTGTATCAATCGCCCAAATAAGATTCTGGTTATTTATTTTGCTTCAGCAGTGGCAGGAGCAGTCGTTGAAGTGGTAGAACTTAGGCTGGGGAGGATATTTTGACTGAAATTTTGCATATTTTGAAACTCAGGTTGTTACATTTAAAATTATACACATTGTGATTACCTAGCTTCAAAAAGGGGGAAGAAAAAGCATTCCTTCCTGTCAGAACCTTTTCCCTCTGTCTGTCATGTAACCCAACTAAAAATAAACTACAAGCACAAGAACTGGCAGCCTTCAGTTTGGAGCAAATTAGTGCTCACTGTGGGACCTGTCTCCTGGCGCTTCCAAACCACACGTCAGCCCCCTGCCGTGCGGACCTCCCCCAGGACACCAGCGCAGTCCACCCGGGACAGCTCCAGGAGTTAGAATCACTGCTCTATGGGAGAGGGGGATGTGGTCGAAAGAGCCCTGGCCCACCTGTCCAGCGCCCGGAGTCAGTCCTGGCTGCTGTGTGGCCTTGGGGGAGTCGCTTGGCATCTCTGGATCTCATTTCCTCATTTTAAACTGTGATTGACTGAAATCCACATGCCAGCCACCAGCCAGCACCTTACATGTCTTATTTTATTCAATCCTTACAAAACCTTATGAGCTTTGTTCTAGGTATCATTCCCCATTTTTCAGATGAGGAAACTGAGGCAGAGAAAGGCTGAGTCATTCAGCTTGTGTTCATTCAGCTAATAAGTGACAGAGCCAGGTTCCAGGCCAGGCGTCTCCTTCACCCTTCAGCTCTCTTCTCTCTCCTTCACTCCTTAACACCTCTGTCATCTGCACCTATCGTCCCACTAAAACATTCCTGTGAGACCACAGAGGACTCGCCCATGTCAAATTGTGGTCGTTTGTCACCCTCGATCCTGGTGGACCTTCCTGTCACGCTTGATTGTTCCATCCTGGACTGGCAGCCTTGGGGGAAGAACGTGGACTTTGAGTCCATCTGACCTGTGTTTGCATCTCAGCTTCTGTTCTTATGCGCTGGATCGTCTTGGGCAAGTTACTTTCCTCCTTGAGTCTTAGCTTCCTTGTCTGTAAAATGAGGATGATAATCACACTTACCTTGTTGAGAAAGGTAATACACGAGACAATGTAGAGGCCAGAAGGTACTTCCCTGTGTATTTGTAATCTTCTCACAAGTCCTATCCCTGACACATACACACACGCTTGTTATAAACTCCTAGCCCTTAAATACTGGGTCCTAATTATCTCCTTGCCTCCAATCTTCCTAGCAGTGGTTGGCGTTGCGTCCCTCCCTGTGTGTCACAGTAGAGGAGCACTGTAGACTGTCACACGGGTTCAGCCACATGTTGCTTGCACCCTGCCCTGTGGACTGTGCTTATAGATACGTGTGGTTGTGTGAACCTAGTTATAACGGCTTCACAGGATTCTGCAGCCTTTCATGATCACTAATAGCACAATAGTCTTGTTTTTAATTCTTGCATTTTAAAGGAGTTCTGTTATATTTATTTTGACCACAAGTTTAATCCAGTGTATCCTCTGATTATGACAGCAAAGAAAATGTTGTAAATGTAAGTAGTGGAGGGCAACACCGCCTTTTGTAAGAACCCCAAGATTGTATTACCCTAAGACACCGCCGTTTCGGTGTTAAAGAAATTGCCAACATGGCAATATGGATTTACTGGTGACGGTTTGTTGTTGTTTTGGTTAAAATCCTGTCTTAAGAAACATTATTTTACTCTTCAATTTTCATAATCATTTTTCCCGTGTATGATTGAACTTCTACAAATTTCCTCCTCTGATCTTCTGATCAAATGGTAAGGCTGCTGTCTTTTGAAAACAGTTACTAGGATTCAACATCTGAAATTGATTTTCAGCCTTTGGCATTTTCCGTGTGGATGAGGACAGGGAGAGACCTCCCTCTCACACCCTGGGTTCTGGGCTGCAGAAAGCTGCGGTTTTGGCCTCGGGGCGGACGCTGACTGGTCTGCCGGAGCACACCCCGGGCTGGGGTTGTGTGGGGTCAGAGATATTTACCAGAGTCCCTGTAGTCAGTGAAGAGGTGTCTGTGACAGACACCCCAGCCCTCGCTGTTTGGCCCCATCAGGCAGCCGCTCTGTCCAGGGAGGAGGCCAGTAGCTTTGAACTCCATGGGGCTACGGGGAACTGCTAACACGCTTCCACTGCTCAGTGTGGCTGAGTTTTGAGGTGGGGTTTTCCCCATCCTTTGGCAAACTGCTGTATCATACACCTCATTTGCCATCAGAGTAGGTGTGTGTATCGTTCTTTTTTTTCCATGAAAACAACACAGAACAAAGCCTCACTTTTTAAAATGCCATGATATTTTGCCACCGTTATGAAAATCTGTCAGCGCCGTATCTAATCTTCTGGTGCATAGAATATCAAAACAAGCGCCATTGAAGGGATTGTACTCCTGTTAATACAAAAATGTCAGTTCCACAGTCTCGGAACCAGCTGCGATCAGCCTCTTTCCAAATAGGAAAGAAAAAAATAATAAAGTTTCTTTTCCCCTCTGCTGTTACTGTTCTTCAGGCCTGACCTTCATAAGAAGACCCAGAGTAAACACCGCCTTGCTGAAATCTTGCGTTCGGAATACTCAAGTGGGATGGAGGCTGGCACTGCCAAGGTCAAAAAGCAAAACAAACACGCAGAGCCCGGGAGCCAGCCATGCAGCGCTGTCAGCTACCGGCGCCCAGCCTTGGCCGTGGGAAAAAATTAAAAACGCTCTCTGTGAAAGAGAAAAACCCAGAAAGGCTTACTGAGGGATGACAAGACTTCCCAGAAAGTTTTTTTAAACTATGCCTTTACAAGACTGGGCCTCAGAGTGGATCCTGGAGTTGACGTCGTGTTCTTGTCAGAGGGGCCCTGTGAGAACTAGCGGTGCTGCCTTTCCCTGAAGACTTAAGTCCCTAAGATTCCTAGAAACCACAGCCCTTCTCTCGTGAGGGAGGCCCTGGGAGGATCGGGGGGCAGTCAGCATGGCATAGATTAGCCAGTTAACGCGTGTCTTATATAAGATGTCTTATGTCTTGTATTTATTCCATCAGGGCCAGACCTTATCTTCACCCGTAGGTCAGTGGTGCCCCCACGACTCAGTGTCAAAGCCTGCCGTCCTGTGCGTCAGCCTGGTAACAATGTTCTGAAGAAGTTTCACAGTTTTACTCTAGTCCTATCAACACATACATTGGCATGAATTTTGTAAAATAGGATTTTAAAAACTGGAATTTGTAAAAGAAGAGAAAAAAATATTTATTAAATCATTTTCTTGATGTACAAATGCTTTGTTAAGAAGGACTTTTGGTGTGGGTCACAACTGCTCGGGGTCTCCAGTCGATAAACCCTCTTGTTTTCCCTGTGCAGGCTGCTCTAAACGCCATCTTGCATTTACATGCATTGCTCTCTCTTTCATGTCCACAGAAAACTTACTTTCTCAGGGCTAATTGATTTACTGTTGCCTTTTTACTATTTGCCTTTGAAGTCAAAAGGCACAGTGTCCTCAGCTTTTTCTCCCATCGAATCCCATCTTGTCTTCAAGAAAGGTCTGGGGTCTTTGTATTGTGACCCAGGCCACAGCTGCCCCTCCCCCTTGTGTTTTCTGGGAGGTTTGAAAGAGGACTCCCAGGGCGTATTGATTTCCCAATAAATGTAAGATTTGGACACGGGTAACTGCGGAGGGTCTGAAGGAGAGTGGGGAAAAAGCCCCAGGCCTCTGTCGGGCGGTGCTCTGTTCTCTCCACTTGTTCTCCCATTCTGTTTTCCTTCTTCCTCCTCCTCTAACTTCAGTAGGTCCTCCAGACCCACATGAACTAAATGGCCAGGAAAAGATCACGCGAGTTGCAAGTTGGGCCGTTCTGCGGGGACCATGGAGGGGTGAGCGCCCTTGCCTCCGTCCCTCTCGTAGCTGCCGTCAGACGTAAGGCGAACCTCAGCAGATGCTCACACCAGCAAGGACGCCGGTGTGAGCCCCAGAAGCCCTGATCCTCCGCAGGAGGGAAAATTTGATCTTCTCCGAGTTGACTGTCACACACGAATTAATAGGGATGGTTGGTGAATTTGTAACAATAATAATAATAATAAACCCTGCAGCACATGTCAAACTGACTGGGCAAATCTGCCACCTTTTATTTCGATGTGTAATGGTTCACATGATTTGGAGGAGAAAAGGAGGGATCAAACTTTATAGACAAAACCCAGCTGTGTGAGAAACAGGATTAATGCCAGTGATTGGGGAGGATCAAAGAGAACCTCTCCTCTTTTCTCCCCAAAGTACTCATTCCATTGAAGGGAGGATCCGCAGAGGTCTGCATTCCTCTGAATGCAGAACTGGGCAAAGTGTATAAGTGACTGTAATTCCAAGATCAAAACTGCCACTTAATTTGCTAACACTTAGGTGAGGTTTCTTGCTGTAGATGCCATGTGGGCCTGTTTCTAAGTAGAATCAATATATTACCCCCAGTTAATAAAGAAACACGGGTTTAGCAGATTTAGGGTTAATATTATCTAAATTTAAATAATCTTAAAAGAAATCTCTTTCTTATTGTGGCTCTTGACAGATTATACATTTCAGGCATCAATTAGGCAAAGCTTTAGCCTAATTCCACTGTATATATGCTAATTTTGTATGTATTTTTAATCTTGCCTCTTTTTCTAATTTCCCAAATTTATGTCATAAGCCTGATCCCCATATTTAAAGTCACAGAGAATTTGGACATTTCATAGAACGTTGCAACCTAACGCCGTTTTCCCTCTTGGGCTGTAGAATGCTCTTTTTGAATCCCTAACATCTTCATGTTTACAAGCCTTAGCAGTTGCACATCTTCAGAGGGGCCCCCCATTCTCATGCACTGAAGGGCAAAGAGCCCTTGGTGAGTGATTAAGTCAGCACTGATGCAATGCAAACGGCATCTTCTACTCTTAGAGAAGCAAAGAGCCAACCAAATCTCAGCAAAGAACTTTCTGACAAAGCCCAGTGGATCCCTTTGATTTTTTTTTTCTTTTCCAGTGGTGAAGGGGGGCAAGATCAGGGAACAGAAGGAGTAAATGAGATCCCTTTAAGGGAGGTGTGTTCCAACTGCCAGCAGCCTTGCCCTTTAGCACTTCAGCCCCTCGACTTAAAGTCAGTGGAAGCCATTAAAATCCAACCATCGCTTCCAGAAGACAGAAATGTAAGGCTTTTTCCACTGGAGAAGTTGCCCGGCTTGAAAAGGCGCTTAACTGGTCCTGTTAAATTGCCTGTGTGACTGTCACACCGTGTCTCTTAATCTGCTCCCCCATAGGAAGAATTCAGAGCAAGGCCTGTCAGTGTGGAGGCAGTGGGGCACCCTACACCAGCTCAACTTCTCAGAAATTTCCAGAAGCCTTGCAACAGGGCTAGTAGGAGAATCTAAACTTCTTTTAAACTTTGTTGCCCTGCGCTGTTGAGTCTAGGCTTAGAAGGGGTCTAGGGGTGGGTCCCCGGCAGAGCCAGAAGATGCCCTCTCAGTGCCTCTCCTATTGTTCTGCCTGCTGGGGGTCTCTCACATTCATTCTTTTTTTTCTGTTTTAAATGAGAAATCACCCAGCTCCAGGGTTGGGAACAGAGAAACCAATTTAGCCTCCTAAATGGATGAAAGCAGAAGCCCACCTCACTGCAGAGGTTGTAAAGTTATTATTACAGATAGGAAGTGCAGGACAATTTAAAATATTGTAATTATAAACTTGTAGGGGAGCCTTGTTCTTCATTAATGTAAGATATGAAATCGCCTCTGAGGTACAAGGACAATTACATAGTTAAGAATGTGGCTGTGATTTACACTGCCGCTGTGTAAATGTAAGGGTGCTTGCTCCCGTCTCCCTCCTTCACTCGCACAAAATGAAAAGCACACCAGTGCAAGTTGTCCTTTGATAGATTTTTAATATGATTTTAAAGAGTTTTGTTTGGTCTCATTCTTATTCAATGAGATTAATTTAAAGCACTTATCCCCTGGGTTTAAGTCAATCCATGTAGGATTTGGGCAGGGTTTGTTGCATGGGGGGTTTTGTTTGCAGGAGGCTATGAGAGACTCCTTTCCCACTTCATTAACCCTGAGTTGGGACAGTTCCCCCCTCGCCCCCCACCACAGCCAGAGCTGGGGATTTACCAACCCCCATTCACATGCAAAAGAACTCGAAAGCTGAGGGGCTCCTTGACTTAATTAGCTGCTGTGCATTTTGCAAAATTAGAATAATACCCTCACCATCCCAGGAAAGAAAAGGGGTGGTGTGAGGGGTTGGAGGTGGGGAGGAAACAGTAGCAGGGTCTGGTTTTGGGGGAGACAGTTAGAGTTTAAACATGCCCCCCACCCCTCCTCCAGGAGGCAGTCCTCTCCCAGAACAATCCTGCCACAAAACTGGAGGGGGCTTGGTTTGCTAGGCCCCAAAACTTCCCTGCCCTGGAGTGTCTCCTGTCCTGGGAGTCGCAGCTGCAGGTGGTGTGTCGGAGGGGAGCACCTGCGCCCACCTCCCCAGAGAGAGAACAGCCTCAGGGGGTGACCTTGGCCCTTTGAATGGGAGCTGGAGGCCTGGAGTCTGGCTCCAGACTTAAACCTCTCCCCTGAGATCCTGGAGCCACAGGCTGGGGCATTGGGCAGACACTGGGCTTGCGGTTCCCTCTGGGTTTCATCTCCTACATAATCCCCCGGGTAAAGGAGGAAGTGAGAAGGTGCGGGAGTGAGGGGGTGACCGATGTGGCCTCAGGTTCCCAGCACAGGCTCGTCGAGTCCTACCTGGGGCGAGGGCCAGAGCAGCCTCGGTGCCTGCGAGCGTCCGCAGCCCGAGCGCGGCCTGAGCGCTGGGCGGAGGGGACTGAAGGGGGGAGTAGCCTCGGAGCCCATCTGTCGGCCCCGCACCCGGCGGACCGGTCACCAGCTGCCGGCGCCCTTGTTGCGGCCAGATGAGCCGGCTCAGTGATGGCACTGCAGCCCGCCCCCAGCCTAGTGAGCCTGGGTGCTGACCCCCACCACCAACCCCACCCTGGCCCCTGGGACTGGCTGGGAGCAGCAAGGAACCAGATGGAGAGGAAGGGGGAGGCGGGGAGCAGCGGGCTTGCCTCACTGTAGAGATAGGAAGACTGAGGCCAGGGAAAGAGAACCCCTGCCCAAGGCCCAGGACAGTCCAGTTGGGGCCCCTGCCCACGACCACAGCGCCAAGGAAGAGGGGGACAAAAGTATTTCCTTATTGAGGGTGGAAGAAGGCCGAGTCCCAGGAAGGGAAAATGGATCTTAAGGAGGGATGGGAAAGAAGGGCTGAGCGCGGACAGGCGCCTGGTCATTTGTAAGAAGTTTATTTCGACGTTTAAAAAAGAGAGAGAGAGAACCCGAGGGGCCTGGCTGCCCACGGACCGAGGCTAGAGGTGGGGGCTGGGGTTGGGGTGGGTAGGCAAGCCCCTTGGCCCCTTCCTGCCCCGCCTGGGGGGGGGGGAGGGCACAGGCCACAGACTCACTGATTCACGGACATTGTCACGGGCTCATGGGTCACGAATAAATAACTTCATATACACTTTGCACACGGTATGTACAGTTCTGCCGCCGCCCTGGGCGCTCGGAGAGGGGTCTCCACACTCCCCTCCGCCTGTCAGGGTGCGGGGTGAGGGCTTGGTGCACAACTGGAGCGTGGAGAGGGCGGGGGAGAGTGCAGCATGGGGGTTGCCCCCACCTGCTCCCGGCGAGGGGCACGGGTGCGCTTAGGGGAGCCGGCGGGGGTGGAGGGAATGTATGTACATCCGGCGGTGGAAGTGGCTCCCTGATGGAGTGGCCAGGAGAGAGGACGCCGAGGACGGTTAGGGAGACTCAGTCCGGGGTCCGGGCCTCAGTAGACTTGGCATTTGGCCCTTCGGGGGACATTGGGCTGGGCGCCAGGGAGGATCCGACAGGGTCCCCCCGGTAAGAGGCGTTGAAACCCCCGCGCCCTCCGAGAAGCAGGCAGAAGCGGCCGGCGCGGAGCCCCGGGGAGGGGGCCGGGTGCGCCGCGGGCCGGCGGGGTGGCGGGCGCTTCACCGAGGCTGCGCGGCGCGCGGGAGGACGCCGGCCAGCGGGGGCAGCGGCGGGGGCGGCTCGCTGGCGCCCTGGAGTCCGTGGATGAGGATGCGGGGCACCAGGGGTCTCTGCAGGGCGGGCGGCGGCGCGCTGGGCCCGCGGTACAGATACAGGGCGGCGCCGGGATCCAGGTTGGAAACTAGACTCTGCGGGTAGAAATAAGGCGACGGGAACATCCGCTGGAGCGCTGAGTAATTGCCTGCCTCCGCCAGCAGTTCCAACCCGACGGCGGTCTGTCGCTTCCACTTAGTCCTAGGGACCGAAATAAACGCGTACGGCAGGGTCAGGGCTGTGGCGCCCGGAGACCCCTGCCCTCACGAGTGCTTGGCCCAGAGCGATCACCTAATGTGTTTAACAGCCGAGCGCCAGGCACCGTCCTCGCGTGTTACATGCGTCGGCTCCTTTAATCTTCCACCGGCCTTCCGTGGCCACTTTACAGATAAAAATCGAGGCAGGGGCCACTTTTCGAGATGGTCTCGAAAGTGCCAGAGCCCGGGTTCAAGCCAGCCAAAGCTTTGACTGACCGAAAAGACCGGGCTCTAACCTCGCTACTCTCTGCTCCGGGTCGCAGACCGGCCCTTGGAGCTGGTATTGGAGCTCCTCCTGCGTATCCGTTCCCTGGGGAGGCCTTAGGAAGGCGAGATCGCCGTGAAGAGGACGGCTGGGACCCGGGGGTCGGTCCTCTAGCCGTGGAAAGGGGCGCGGTTGACTCTCCCAGCGGCACCCCCGGCCCGGCGGAGGCGAGCGCCGCCGAGGCGCCCCAGTTGGCGGCGCTTCTGCGGAAGCTCGCGGGCCGGAGACGCAACTGGAGAGGACGCGCAGCCGGCGCACACACTCTCTCCGCCGCTCGGCCGCACCGCTGCCCTCCGTACCCACGTCCGAGGCCTGGGGTGAGCCCTGCGGCCCGTCTGGCCGCGAAGTCGGGAGGCCACCAGCCGAGTGTCGGCCAGGGGTTTGGGGAAGGCAAAAAAGTTGAGGCCAGGCTCGTTGCCGGAGCTGCGGCCCGGATCCCTGGGTGCACCTGGCGGGCCATGCTGGGCCAGCTTGCTGGGGTCCCACGGAGGCAGACTCAACCACACCAACCCCGTTTCCCTCCCTGAATTATTCATCATCATCATAATTGTGTAATTACTGTAACAGGCCTTAATTATTGATGGCCGGAGCAGTAATCGGTATTTATTATTAATGGGGCGACGTGTTCTGAGGCTTGTTTACGGAAAGCACCATTCTGGCCTCCGCTAAGAGTCTGTAAGTGACTGTGGGTTTGAGTGTGTGTAACTGCGTTTTGTCGATGTACGTGTCTGTAAGTGTGTGGTTGAGTGTGTGGATGTGTGTGAGTGTGTGTTTTGTATGTGTGTGTCTTCGTCCTGTGAATGTGTTGGGGAGGGAGATTAGGAAACAGGAGGTTCAAGACCAGTGCCCAACACCTGTTTCCAGTCACCCAGTCACTGTCCCCAAAGAGCTGGGGCTGTGCCCCTTCCCTCCTCAGGTTCAGGACTAGAAAGGCTGGGGAGGCCAGAAGAGCTCCGGAGAGGTCAGACAGCCCCCCGCCTCCCAGCAGCTGTCTACATCACTCCAGGGCTGCCCGCTAGTCCTCTCTAGTCCTCTCGAAAGACATTCTGGACACTGAGGCTGCCACCCCTCCCCTGGCCTAGTGCTTGCACTGGGAGAGCTCAGTGGCCCCAATGCTGGTCTGGGTGGGGGTGGTAGGACACTGGTTGGGGTGGGGCAGGCCTAGGACCTCTGGTGGCCCATGTGTCTGTGTCCACCTGTCCTGGAAGGGAATGACTGGGCACTGGAGACTGTCTCTATCCTTCACTGTGGACTTTGGGCAAGGCCTCTCCTCAAGACCTCAGTCTCCGCACTTTTATAGAATGGGGAAAGCTCAGGGGCACTCTCTCAGCGTCAGGCCGTGGGCCCCTGGGTCCCATGGAGGGGCAGCTAAAAAAGGAGACCGGCCCTTTCCGCTCCTCACCTGACGGCTGGGCCTCACCTGCGGTTCTGGTACCAGGTCTTGACCTGCGTGTCGGTGAGGTTGAGCGAGGCGGCGAGCTCCATGCGGTCCTGCACGCTCAGGTATTTCTGCCGCTCGAAGCTGCGCTCCAGCTGCGCCAGCTGATGGTCGGTGAAGGCCGTGCGCGCCTTGCGGGGCTTTTTCAGGCGCACCGGGGGACTGTCCCTCGAGCTGGAGATCTCGCGGTCGCCCTCCTCCTTCACTGCGGAGACACGGCGGTGCGTCAGGGCCGGGCCTCGCCGCCCGCCCGCCGGCGCCCTCCCGCCCCAGCCGGCGCTGCCCGTCGCGTTCGTGTAAACGCGGCTCCTGACGGCGGTGGCCCCACCGCACTCAAGCGCGTGGGGGCCGCGGCAAAGCCGCTCGGAGCCGGGACCTCCGGGCCCCCAAACCAGGGCGTGAAGCCTGACGGAGAAGGACTAACACCTCTGGGGAGAAATAACCCCAAACCGGGAGAGAATTCCACCGGCTTTCTCTCCGTCGCGTTCCACTTTGCGCCCGCGCTCCCAGAAGGGATAAACGGAGCGACCGTGGCGGAGCCGAGCGACCGGGTGAACCCACCGAGGGAGGGGAGGGTACCCAAGGGATCCAGCGGGGTGGGCTGCGCCAGTACGTGCTCAGGGGTGCGGGTCTGTGCTCCGCATCTGCGCCGCGATTCTCTGGCCGAGTCTGGGCCGGGAAGGGAGGAAGCTGAGGGCCGGAGTCTGGGGAGAAAATCCCGCGTGGAGAGACAAAACCCTGTTCACCCCGGAGCGAATCGTTGTCCTGAAGAAAAAATACTTGTACCCACATCTCCCCTGGCCCCTATATGGATGCGAGTCTATCGCGGTGGTTTCCCCCGATTCTTAATCTACAAACGGTGCGCAGCGCGGAAGGCCGGGCTCGAGGGCGAACCGCCGGGGCCGGATCTGGGAGCGCGAACGAAGCACTTGGAAAAATAAGCGATGCGTTCGCCCCTAGGGTGCGCGCAGCGCCCAGGTCTGTGTTTTCCTGTCAAAACGATGCCCACTGTGGCTCCCACTATACCTGCGTGGCGGTCGTGTGTTTCCGCCCCTTGGTCGGGACACCCCAGCAGGGTTCCCGCTCCTGAGGCCCAAGAATGGACCGAACAGGAAAGGTTTCTTTTTCCCCAGGCACTTTCGTTTGGGCTTGACTGTGCCTAAAATGCACCCTTGATCGAACAAGCTCAGTGATCTCCCTCCTTCTCCCCCGAAAGCGATGATATAACCAGAGACCACTTCCCCAAAATCGGGGGCACTGGCTGGGGCATCGCCCCTCTTTATCTCCCTCTATTTTCATTTATTCATTTTCATTGTGTTTCATTGTGCGTGGCATTTGCAGTGACAGGGTTCAGCTGAATGCGAGTTGATTTCTCTCTGTAGGAAACAATAATCCGGTTAATTGAGCCACTAGGGAGTGAGGCTTTTCAACCAGAAAGGCAGCGGTTCCGGCCAAGAGGGCACTGGGCACCCGGTGCACCGAGGGGCAAGCAGGGAGAGCGCTCACTCAAGAAACAGCGGCTTTCGCCTTCCTCCTGCCTCCTCCAGGCTGGCATACGGGGCTCTCCCTGCCCTCCTGGGCTCGGGACACATCGGGGGCACGGCCACTTCAGGAGGTGTCCTGGGATGGGGGAAACTTGAGTTCTGTCTGTGCCAGCTGGTCAAGTTTAAACATGTGTGAGGAGACAAGGATCCAAACCTCAAACTTGATATTGCAGAAACCTAAAGAAAAGAAACCTTACATTTTGACCTAATTGCCCAACTGACTACGAAAATCCCCCGCTTCTCAGGGCTGAGGTCTGGAGGGTGGGGGGAGTTGAGTGTGTGGTGTCAGGAAGAACGGGTTGGCTACTGGGGCTTCTCTCTAATTCCTCTCTGGTGCAGGCTGGAGCCTTCAGATGCGCACTCGGGGCCTCTCAGCCTTCGCCTCCGGGACAGGCTCGCCCAGTGGGGCCTCAGACTCTGGTCTGGAGGCCACATCTCAATGCCCCAGAGTTCAAGGCCCACCGACCCCACCTGCTTGGAGCAAAGCGCCATTATGGTTTCTCTACGGACCTTGGCTCTGGCAGGCAAGAGCGCGCAGCAGACCGCCTTGCTTCAAAGCCCAGTTTCAGCTTCTTTAAATGTTATGCTTGCGGAGCCTTTGATCCCAGAAACTGAGGATGGGACTGACCTTCCCTCCATGCCCTCCTTGGAGGAAGCGACTCTTAGCATGGAAGGTGGATGGGGAGTTGAATTGCTTAGATGCCCTCCCCATCTGGTTCGGTGTGTCTGTCTCTGGGCAAGGCTTCCTAACCCAGCCCGAAAAAATCGCCTCCACATTTGAGAAATGCTCCTGATGTTGTCTGGGCGGCGGATGTTCACAATCCCTTTTTCACCCCGGGGCTTTGTAGGTGCAAAGGCAGCCCCTGGGGGTGGGGAGTGGGGAAACCTTCCACCCTCCTCTGCGCCAAACCTATTTAAGTGATATGTGGACAGCCGGCCCTCATCACCTCCCTGATCAGATATCATCAGGGACAGGGGAAGAAAATTGATATTCCAATTATCTTAAATGAAACCGCTCCTCAAAATCCTACCTACGGGCAAAAAAATAAAAGGAAGCAAGAGCCAAACTCTCACCACCACCAGCCCCGGCCATTAGCATGCAATGTTGGAGATTCTTGCCTCTTACTCCAACCACAAAGCTGGAGTGTTGTTGGTGTTGTTAAGGATTATAAATAATAAAGCACAATTATATAAATATATATTTACATTGCCTCCCTTGTCCCCTCCCCACCTTTCTTTCTCCAGGACAAGTTTTCTTTCCCTCTCTCAACAGGACCCTGGGGTGGGGGGGGGGAGCAACGGTCTCGGGGCCACATGCCTCTGTACCTCCTTCCCTGGATGCTTTAGCTCAACCTGCGGGTTTTCTAGACATGGCTGGCCCAGCAAGGCTGAAGGAGGCTTGGCCGTTTGCGTGGGAAAGCCAAGGGGAGCGAGATGTGGAGGAGGGCCCCAGATGGGTTTTCGACTTGAAGTCAGGGCATGTCCACAAACGAATTCTTGGTTGGGAGGAGAGTGTTAAATGAGACTTACTAATTTTTTGTGAAGACTTGGTACAAATAGGGGCCAGGTGGTGCAAGACCCCCAAGACAATAAAGAAGTTTTGTCTCATGAAAAGGGTTCTGAGAATTAATTATAAGGCTGAAAGGGCTCTGAACAGCCTCTGCCAGACCCTGGTTTTCCACCGGATGAGAACACAGGGCTCTGTCCCTTGAAGCCCTGACACCCCTTCCCCTTCTGCCTGCTGACTTCTTCCTAGAAAGAACTTTTCGCCTCTGGCTTCACCAAGAGTTAAAGTCAAGGTAGTGGCCATGGGCGAGGAACAAAACTAGGGAACTCTCTCTTTCCTTCTTCCCTTCTTTCTTTCCTTCCTCCCTCTTTCCTCTTAATCCTGATCTTAGCTCCCTGATTAATATGGGATGAAAAGAAAAAACAATAACGAAAAGGTTCGAGGAGGCAAAAAAAGCAAGTGAAGGGGCAGCAACCTCAGTTTGGGGAAAAGGGCTGTCTTCTCAGGAGTCTCTGGGTCCCATACACAGCCTGCAGTTGTTTGCTCAATGCACTGAAAATCAAATTCAGTGAGAACCGTAGGATGAGAGCAGGGTTCCCCCACTCTCGACCAGACCACTGAACCTGCTCCCGGCCAGCCGCCTGGCTGCTGTTTCTACTGTGAAGTCAGCTTTTCTTTTGCATGATTCCCAGGGCCCACATCACACCAGATCCAATGAGAGGGAAAGCCCAGTTCCTCTTCCTATCTGGAAATTCAGATTAAAGCGTGGAAAATTCTGACTGTTCTCGGGGTTCCAGTTGAAATTTCCTGCTAGGTTTTCACTCGTATAAAAGGGCATTCAAGCAGAGCCCTTTGACTCTTCTGTAGCTTCTGCAAGGTCTTTTCTCAGAGAGCCACTGGCCTGATAGGAACCTGCTCCTGCCCACCTGCACCACTGCAAGGGTGGTCCCAGCCAAAGTTTAGAAAGTTTGCTTTGTGCGTTTTGGGGCATCTCTCCTGGGGCACAGTTTTCCTCTCCCCTGACCACTCTCTCCACTGGACTCTCTGTTGCTTAAAAGCATAGCCACGAGGCCGGCTGAAAGGTTCAGACAAGACCGACTGCTCAGCCTGGGCCCTGGGAGCTCCGGGTGAGCATGTGCATGTTCCCGTGTGTGTGCACTCAAGTTTTAATTCCAGTTTTTAGAAACAGAGCATCCCCCCAAGTTTTCACCTCCCATTGTCTTACCTTTATACTCAGAGTCCGACGAGCCATTGCTGCCACTTTTGTCCAGCTTGTCTCTAAAGTCCTCCACGGCCTTGGCCGCAAGGCGTCCCCCAGGCTCAGGGGCGGCTGGCTGCCCGCTGCTAGAGTAAGGTGCACAGGCCGCGAGTGGTTTGCAGTCAGCAAGGATGTCCCTGATCAGAAAGGAGGAGGTCACGGTGCGCGACTGGGCTGGGGCAGAGAGCTGCCCAGGCTGCAGGTGGGAGTCCAAACCTGGGCCCGATGCCCCGCCGGGCCTCGGGGCACCCGTCTCCAGACAGTCCCTTCCTGGCGAGGCTGGTGAAGAGCAGTCGCTGCTGCTCTCTGAGCGCGGACTCAGCTCCAGGGGCGAGCGGCAGTCCCCGAGCAAGGGGTCCCCCTTGGGAAGGGCGGGGCTGCCTGCTCGGTGGGAGAGAATGGAGTCAATCCCAAAGCCATTGGAGCCTTCCATAGCCAAGCTGCGACCTGTCCTCCCCAAAAGCTCCCCACCCACCCCCTACCCCAGCCGCCGCTGCCCCTGCCCCTAGCTGCGGGCTGGCATGGGGAAGGCGGGCAGGGAGCCTGCGGGCACCTTGGACGGGGTTCAGCCTTGGGGGAGCCCTGGAGCTCTGGGCCAACCTCCTCTGCGCATTAGATCCAAAAGGGCTCAGCGCGTCTTCTGCAGCATCGCGCTGAGCAGCCGAGCCGAGGGGGGGTGGTGGGAGTGTCAAGGAGGAATGGGAGGGAGGGTGCGCCAAGTTGGGGAGAGCAAAGGAGGAGACGGACAATCTGAGCGCCCCTTTGGCACGGAAGAGATGCGAAGATATTGGAATCTAAATAAAGAACGGCTTTAAAAAAATCCAAACCGCACGCTTCCTCCAGGTGAACGGTGGCCGAGGGCAGCGGGGTCAGCACCGCGGAGAGCAGCGGGCCCGAGCCGAGCTACCGGCCGGCCGAGCGGAGCGCACCTGGCGGCGTCAGCACCGCGGATAGCAGCGGCGGCGGCCCGCGGCGCACGACGCTCCACCTAGCCGGGGAGGTCCTCTCTCCGCGCTCCCACCGCTCGGGGGGGCCCGTCAGCACCGTGGACAGCGCCGCCCGGCTCCGCAGCTGCAGCTCTCAGCGCGTCCTCCGCGCGCGCCTTAGCCTCCCCCCCTTCCTGTAAAAAATGAACTTGTGTCACTTTTACTTTGGGCTTGGGGTTTTTTTTTGTTTCTCTTTTTTTTTTCGTTGTGTTGTGTGTGTGTGTGTTTTTTTAAAGAGGACTCGCCCACGTGTCCCCGGAGTGATGACGCTGATTGGCTCCGGCCGATTTTGGGGGTGATGTCACGGCTCCGCAAGCCGCTGCCCGATTCCCTTTCAGTTTGATTAAAAGAGACACTGAATTAATTACAGCGCAGACCCAACTGTTTACCGGCGATTTCCACACGGTTTGCTTTCATTAGGCCGGTGATGATGCTCCTAATGAGGGTGATTAGCCGAGGGGGGTACGGGCTGGCAGGGAGGGGTCCGGAGCCCGGCTGCTGCTGCCAGTGGGTTGGGATGTGAGGTTTTTAAGTTTTCCTCTGCCCTTACCACAATTATTCAAATTATTCGTCGGCAGGGCTGTCGTAGATCCTTTCTCTCCCCCAGCTTTTCTTCCTCCAGCAACAGAAAGAGAGTAAACCCAGCGGAAAAAGAAGTGTGTGACGCCCTTTTCCGGTGTTGGGGAGAGATTTTAAGTTACATTGTTTTCGGTAGTGTCCGTTGGGTTCTAGATGTTTCCATGTAGGACAATTTACAGCCCTTTCTCTGCCCTCTTTGGACCCTGCGGGCCTGGCAGGGGTGGGAAAGCCTGGAGCCTGCCCCTAGAAGGGGCCGGAACGACGGCTTTGCTCTGGGGCGAGGGTGGGGAACGTGGGAAGATCATGTCTGGGACGTCGGGGAGACACCGAGAAATCCGTGTGGCCCGAGGGAGGCAGCGCAACGGACAAAGAAGGCAGGGCCCCCTACCCAGCCGATAGCCCCTCCTGTGGCGTATGTCCCGGGGGTCGGTGTTTTTGTACGTCTGAACAGGAACGCGCAAGAGCTTCCGAGTGCGAGCGTAGACGTCTGCAAACGGCTTATTTTTATGCGCGGAGCCGGAGCTCGCCCCAGGATGTTTTTTCAAGGCAGCGCTGGAAACATGGTCTTTTCCTTGTGAATAACGCACCGCCTCGCCCTCCCCTCTCCGCCATGGCACTCTAATTCCGCGCCTTTCAGGGGTCGGCCTCTGGTGCGGCGGCCCCGGGCTGCGGGCAGATCTGAAGCGCGTCCCGGTCCTGGGTCCTCTGGGCACCGCCCCAGGGGTTGAGACCCGAGTCTGGTCGAAAGGCGGAGGGAGCCGAGCCCGCGCGCCTGCAGCCGGGCCCCGCGGGCCCGAGGCGCCCTCCGCCCACCCCACGCCCAAAGTGGAGGCCTTCCCAGCCCGGTCCGCGCGCTCCTGTGGCCCCTCCCCATCGGCCCTCAGAATACTTGGGCCCCCTCGTCGGGCTCAGCTTCCGAGACCTCAGCAGAATAGTGAGGCGCCCGCATTCCTCCAATCTCCAGACCCGGCCGAGGGAAGCCCCGAGCGGCCGGGGGAACAGAAACTTTCTTCTCCCTGGGGCGAGGTCGGTGGTGGCCTCGCGCCCGGCTCCGCGCGCTCTCCTCCTGCGCCCGCCGGCAGATTGGAAGCGGCCTGCCGCCGGCCGGGCTGGGGGCGAGGACGGGCGGCTCCCCGGGGACGGACGGCCGGGCTCGGCTGCAAGCTGTCGGGGAGGCAGGAGGGCGGGCGCCGAGGGGCCGCGAGCCGACAGACCCCCGCTCTGGCTCCGTGACCGCTGCAGTGGGTGCCTCCCGTGGAGGGGCCGAGCCGGGCCGGTCGTTCATTTTCGTTTGGTGGATGTGGAGGGGGGCATAAATCACGAGGATCGCTGGCGGCTCTGGCTCTTCCCGGACAGCCCCCAACTTGGGCCTCGTTCCCGCTCTAGGCACCTCTGGAGACCCCGCGCCCCTTTCCAGTCTCTTGCCCCAGCCCTGCTTCCCCGGGCCTGCGCCTGCATCTCTGGAGGAACCTCGTCTCCCCCCGCTAGCACCCAAGGTCTCAGCTTGGGTCAACGGGACTCCCCTCCTGGGCCTGTTAGAGGTCGTGTCGCTCCCGGGCCAGGATCTGCAGGACCCAGCCAGGCCCCAAGATAGTCGGTGTCCTACTGTGCCCACCAGGAGGTCCTGAGTCGCCTCTGCCCTGGGCAGACGTTCATCTGGCAGTGCACGGACCTTTACCAGCCTCCGAGGTCTTAGGCTGGGGTTTGGATCCCCAGACCCAGCAAAAGCAAAGCCTCAGCTGGTGCTGGGTGCTGCAGGGGGATCAGAGCTATAGCAGGGGAGGGAGGCAACCCTCTGGTAGTGGAAAAGAACAGCTCGACCCCCAGCCTCCTGCAGCCCTTAGCCAGCTTCTCGGTGTGCTTCTTAGAACCCAAGAATATTTAACAGGTTTTCAGTATACTATCATTAGTATTGAATTATCACTGTCTATTATAATACAAAACATGCTATGCAATTTATTTCATTTGGAATTTCCCGAGAATTCAGCCCTCTCTCACTAACATCATTTTATGCCTATTTGGGGATTTCCAGCTCTACCACTGAGCCCCCCTCCTTTCTCTTTTCTCCATCATCTGGGTGGTTCTTACATCTCAGTCTGTCCACAGCCTGAGAGGTTTGTGTGTGCTCTCCTGGGCTCTTGTTTAGCTTGGAAGGAGCCTAGGAATTGGCATTTTACTAAGCATCTCGGAGATCTTGGGTGTGTGATCCCCCCTACCCTTTGAGAAAGGAACCTGGCTGGTCTTGCAGGGGTATCAAGGCTTTGAGGTCCAGCAAAGCTGGATGTGAACCTTGGCAAGTTATCCAACCTTCATTTACACAGCTGGAGGCAGACCTCTCTCCCCTTCCCAAGCCCCAGCCCCCTGCCCTGGGCTGTCTGGGCTCCTCCCCAGGGAGGAAGCTGGGCCTGGTGGAGGAGCTTTGGGGCCTCAGGGGAAGGAGAGGGAATGAGTGCAACAAAGGTACTTCCAGGACCACGTTCCCAGATCCGCTCAGTCTTAACCGAGGGCTGGAACTGCCACTCCAGCGCCCAGGCCCCTGTTCTGGGCTCCTCTTTCAGGACTCCAACCCCTCCTCCCCAGCGTCCCACTTCCTCTTGGAACTGCTAGCTTCATAATCCAGCCCCTGCCCATCCAGGCCTTTGAAATTGCTTTCTTTTAAACCTTCAGCCTCTGGATGGACCTAAAGCCCTAGAAGGTCCCAAACCACCCACCCACAGAGGGCCATCCACAGAGAAGGAGCTGTTGCTCTTCTCCAGAGGCAAGGAGGGCAGCTGCATGGACGAGCTCTCAGAAGGCTGGGCTCTGGCCCTGCTCCTGCTCTGGACAGTGCATTTCTCTTGCCTGGACCTCAGCTTTCCATTTGGTTCAAAGACGTTAACATCAGAGGTTTGTAGTGAGGGGTGAGGGTGGGAGAGGTCCACCTATAGACAGCTATGAAGCAGCCTGCCTGTAGAATCCACGTTCTTCTCCACCTGGGGCTCTTGGCTTGGATTTGGATTTGAGTCAGGAATGGACCTGGGAGTGCCTGGGGCCTCTGGCTGGGCCACGGTTCTTATCAACATCCTTCCTCCTAGCCCCACCTCCCTCTCCACTTAATGCAAAAAAACTCAGGCAGAGCCACACGGAGATATGTGCTCAAAGCTTTTTGAGAGTGATCCTGAGGTCTCTGCTCACGAATGAATTGTGGCTTGAATGCCATAATTCAAGGTTCTGAGTAGCTGGGACTAGGGGCAGCATAAAGCAGATGGTTGGGCTGGTTGAGGATATAGACTCCAGGACTGGCCAGACTTGAGTTAGAATCCTGGCTCTAGAATCCGGAACTGGCACTAAGATGAGGCAAGGGAGGTGAGTCGTGCAAGTCTTTATTGAAACTGTGGATATTTTGTCCATCAGGGATTTTTAAATTTTGATTTTAAAATATTACATTAAAATATAGTTTGTCCTGGTTACTGAGTTTTCTGGCAACCCTGTAAATTTTGCACCTTAGGCAAGGGCTCTACTCTCCTCATCTTAGTCCCAGCCCTGCTCTGTGACCTTGAGCAAATTGCTTTCTGAACCATAGTTTTTTCAGCTATAAGATGGGGATGATGTTGCCCACTTCACATGGTCGTTGTGAGGACTCTTTGCACTTGGCTCGGGTCCTGGAGAATAGCAATTATGCGTTTCCTAGTACAGCTACTGCTAATAACAGCCAGAGCTTTTCCTGTGTCGGGTTAGAGCCCCCAGGCTGAGCCCCCACTGGAGAAGTCAGCTCCCCGCTTTGCTCAGGGCCGTCTGACCAACACCCATTTTTAATGTGGAGTGGGCAGAGGCTTTGGATGGTACAGGCCAGGCCTGGGTGCTAATATCTCTCTGCTCTGCAATCAGATGGGTTGGACAAGAATTTGGACAATTTGTGGGCTTCAAGGTCATCCTGTTCTTAACCATTTTTGTTGGTTTAGCTCAAAACCTCATGGAGATCCTGAAACCAGAAAGAGAGCATATTTTTTCTTTTCTTCTCTTCTCCGTTCTTCTCTCCTTCCCTCCCCACTACCTTCCTCCCACTCTCTTTCCCTTCCTCTCTTCCTTCCTTTCTTCTTGCCTTCCTCCCTTCCTCCCTTCCTTCCTACTGAGCGTGTAGTCTGTCCTGTGCACCGTGAACCATGCTAGATGCTGGCGATGTCATGGAGAGTATGACAGAGTGGGCCCGCCCTCATGGAGCTCACAGAGGCAGTGGTGTGCATCAATCTGAACTCCCCTTCAGAGATTATTCCCCATTTGTGGATTCAAGTTTATAATTTACCTGCTTTCAGTTCAAGGAAACTGTATAAAAAGCCAACCTAGTTTTGTTTTGTTTGTTTTTTCCTTTTAATGATGGTTTCAAGCATCAAAACGTTTCCCAAGTAAAAAGAAATGCAGCTAAAAGACTGTTTTGGTCCTTAAGGATAAATGCAAGAGAAGGTACTTGATCGAACCACAGACCTATCTGGCTGCCATGGGGGCCCACCTTGGCACCTGAGCTGCTGGTCTGCTTGCTATCACGGACGTGTGCTTTCTCTGACTCCTGAATCTGGTCGTTTCTAAACCAGCACTAGTTGTGGCGCTGGGATGGGTGAACCAAAAAGCCAAACCATCTCTTTGTGGATCCAGGAAACTCCTTGGGGACTGAAATTGGATCTGTGCAATTGGAACAGTGCTTCCTCTTCACGCTTCTAGGAGCCCCAGCCAGGCACATAGCAGACCTGGCTCATTGTTAGCATCCCTGATGAAAATCCTGCACAATAGTCAGACTCCTCTCTCTCCCGGAGAGAATCCCCTCTCTCTTCTTCTGGCAGAGAAAATGATTAATTATCTAGTTCTATCAGAGAGAGAGAGAGAGGCAGTGAGAGAATGAATGAGGTTTAGACTCTAGTTTAAAAATCTGGAAATAGACTGAAGTCAGTGGGGCTTCAACATGAAAAGAAAGCTGGACCTAGCAGCCAAGAGGTTGTTCCCCTTCTAGTTTTGTTGCTAAGTAACTCTCCAGCCCTCCGTCTTCTCTGGCAGGACTAGATGTTTTCTCCGGCCCCTCCCAGCTCCATGAGTCCTGTTTCCAAAGGCTCTATCTCAACACTCTTGCTCCCCAGGCCTACACTTGCTACCCCCCTCTCCCCCCCAACCTGCCGAGTGCACAGCAGCATGGACATGGCCTCCCTCCCCCCTCAGAGAGGAGGGACTTCCAAGAATTTCAAGCCGACCTGGTGAGGGTCCGTCCAGACAGGCTGCCTCCCTGTGGCTCATGAAGACAGTCCACATGGGCCTCTTTGGTTAAATCTCTGATGGGGTGTTGCCAAGAATTCCAACCAGGAGGTAGAATGTTCCCAGATGCCAACTAGGAGGAAAATGAGCAAAAACGGGGGCTCAAGGCCATAGCTCTGATGATGGCCATCCTCACAAGGCATTATTGTCGTGTGATTAGGAGGACTTGGGATGGAAAGCTAAGCTCTCCCCATTTCCACCCGTCTTTCATTGAGAAGTAGCTTTGGGAGGCAGTCTCTGGAACCTGTCGTGGACCAGTCACTGCCCTGAACTAGCTTAGTGGCCTAGCTTATCGAGTGAACTCAGGCCTCCTTTGACATCTATTTTCCATCTGCGAAGTAGGGGGGAAGGCAGTGGAGGGAGATTAACAGATGATCCCCAAGGCCCCTCCAGGCTGCAACCTTTGGGGACTCTACCCTGGGTCATGAAGGGCAGGTGGAGGGACCCCAGTTGTGCAGGGGGGCCCCCCAGCCGGGGTCAGTGTGAGCAGGAACGGGCATTTGTCCTATGCGATGGGGTACCCAAGAAGGTGAAATCAGACTGGAATCAGACCTGGGGCTGTGTGTGGGCACAAATAATTAATGAGGAGGGAAGGAACAGGCTGGGAGTGGGAAGAGGAGGGGGGCAGGGAGGGAAGGGCCACGCACCTCCTTGGCCTCCTCCTCAGACTTGCCAGAGGGTGGTGCTGTAGGACAAGGAGCTGAGGGACTCTGCTGAGAGCTGCTTCCCGCCCAGGCAGGGAGCACCCAGAGCCCGGGTCTCCAGGAGAGGATGGAGGGTGGTGTTTCCAGGGCATCTGTCACAGCCCAGCAAGTCCCACAGCGCGCAGGCTGTCTGCTGCTGAGGCAAGAAGCGATCGGATAGACAAGAGATTTTCTGTAGCATTTTGTGGCCAAGCCCACACTTCCCCCTGTGACCCAGGTCCCTGGAAAAGGAGGCCTGGAGGGGCCACTTGCTGGTGGGCATCTCTCTCATCGCCATAGCAGAGCTTGCCCACCTTTCAGAAGATACAGCCCAATTTCGGGTCCTTCAGGAAATTCTGCACCCTGGTATGGGTGCATACCCTGAAATCTCAGTGTATGCCCCCCTCCCCTTTCCATAGGGGATTTCAGAGCAAAAAAGTGGGTTCACTTCAAAATATCTTTACCTTCTTGATGCAGCTGGACACAAAGGCTTTTGTCCTCTGAATGTCTCACTCTCGTCCCTCAATCACTCAGGGTTCTGGTTGTCCCTTTTCACTGTGCTTTGTTAATAAGAAGAAAATAATAATTCACATTCGTCTATTGTGTGAAAGTCCCAGACCGTCTGCTAATCATGTTATACACGTTCTTTAATGTAACCATTATGTGATTTAGCTTGAGGAGACGTCCTGTACTGTGTTGGGGTCTTGTCTCACAGATGAGGCACAGAGAGGTCAGGACACTTACTCGAGGTCACACAGAAATTCTTTGGGGGAGCTGGGCTCCATGCCCTTGACCACATGGAATGGCTGCCTGGCTCAGTGGCCTGGCCCCTCAGGCACTCCCTGCTCCCACACAGGCTCCGCTGCTCGCTGTGGGCCAGAGGGCTTCAGGGTGGCTTTAGCCAAGATGAGTGGGGATGCTTGTATCCCTCTGGTTTGTGTGGTGGGAGGGAGATTTCAGGCCCTTGGGGTGGGGGTGGGGTCCGTCAAGACCCTGGCTGAGCCAGGTTCCTGAGGGGGTTAGTGTGTGTGGCATTTTTATGGACTTGGCCTCTAATGAGCTGCAGCCTCTGCATGTGCTGGGGCGGGGAGCGCTGCTCAAGAAACTCACTCAGGTCCGTGATCACCAGACCCAGGTGTATCTCCCGGCCGAGGGTGATGGACATTCCCTGCCAGGGGCTCGGCCTGCAGGGGGCGTGAGCCATGGTAGACATTCATGCAGTGGTCATTCCACAGATCTCACTGGGCACTGAGCATGTGCTGGGCCCTTGGGATCTGAGCCCTGGGATCTGAGATCCTGATCCCATGCAACTTCCCTTCTAGCGGAGAAGACAGGCAATAAATGAGATCATTGCTTTGCAGAGAATAAAACAGGTTGGTGTGAATTTAACTGCTGGCTGTTTCAAGGAAGAACTTTTGAGCAGGGGACTTGACTTTTGAGCTGAGATCTGAATGAGAAGAAGGGGGAGGCGGGTGACAATCTGGGGCCCAGGTGTTCCAGGCAGAGGGAAAAGCAAGCACAAAGCCTCAGGCAGGAGTGAGGGCTGTGGCCTGTGGGCAGTGAGGAGAGGCGTCAGAGGGCCGGCCCTTGGCTTCCTCACCTGGGGTGCCTCTGTGAGGAGTGTAGATTCTGCTTCAACAGCAGCGGAAGCCACTGGAGTGTCAAGGGGCTGCTGCATGGAGAATGGACAGTGAGGGTGCAGCAAGGAGGTCGTTAAGGAACCTACTGCAATTCTCCAGGGAGGTGATGGGGGCTCAGAGGGGAGTGGAAGAATCAGGATGTTTTTGGAAGTAGTGTTGACAAGCTTGTTGATGGATTCGATGTGAGAGGTGATGGAAACAGAGTGATGAAGGTTTTTGGCTTCAGCAGCTGGGTCGATGGTGGCCTCAATTATAGATGCGAAAAATGGAGGGAGAAGCAAGTTTGGTGGAAAAAATCAAGTGTTCTCTCTTGACTGTGTTGGTTTGAGATGAATACCAGAGGCTTGAGTGGAGATGTCAAGTGGGCAGTTGGATAAATGAATCTGGAATTCCCAGGGGAGCTCCGGGTTAAAGATCAACAATTGGGAATCCTCAGACTAGAAATGGGACTTAAAAACTTGAGCATTTGCCTGACTCCATACAGGCACTGTTGAGATGTCTTGGAGAAGGCAGTCTACCTTGAAGAGTTTCCATGTGGTAACAACATCTGAAGAGTTTGAGCTTGGTTCTCACACCAGTAGTAGGTTTACTGGTTTTCAAATAAAGATACAAGAGGAGGATGACAAATAGCAAGCATTTTTAATTTAAAATAGATCAGTATATAATTTGTGGGGAGAAGCCAGAGAATATACAGAAAGATGGAGGTAAGAAGTGCCTGGGAGTTTGGCTGAGAAGTTCCTCAGCCTGAGTACTTTCAGCCCTCCCACTCATCCAGAAGGCTCTCTCTTTCCTAGGGGGTGACCTTCCAAGGTCATTCTTGGTGGAGAGGTCCATCTTGGCCTGCCTGATTGACAGGGCCCAGCACGGAAGAGGAGGGGGCAGACCCCAAGTAATGAGCGTTGGCTCTTCCTGCCGTCAGGGGTCCCGGAGAGATAAAACTGCCCTGGTGAGACATCAGGCCTCCCAAAAAGAGCAATTAAAACTCATGTTTGGAATATAAGATGAGGCTTTCAAAGCATGTTACTGTCAGGCTTTCTGCAGGAAATATGCAGGTTGTTCTTAACTCTTAATGGGCAGAGCCTCGGAATCGACCCTTAGCCTGGAGTCTAAAATCTGCCTTGTAATTCGGGTTTATCTCATCAGCTGAGGGCTTGAGAAGAGAGGCAGGTGGCTGCCAGAAGAGAGGGAGTCCCTAGGTCGAGGGTCGCTGGGGCTAAGGTAAGCTAGTGTTGGCTAGCTAAAAAGGGGGCAGTCTTACCAAAAATAATTAACCTAAGATCTGAATCTGAGGTCCTTGCTGAAACAGAACCCCTATAAAAATGGGGGAGCATTTTGTATGAGTTGGGGCAAGAAAGATGCATCCTTCAGGGAATGTTCTACTGTGTCCAGAAGGCTCTAGGGGTGGGTGTAGTTGCCCATCCTCAGGGTCCCCTGGCGCACGGCATACTCTTCCCGGTGGGCTTTGAACGCTCTCTGGCGATCATCCTCAGTAGGGAAAGTATCGAGATGGGGGCCCACCTGTGGACAGAAGGGAAGAGCAGGTCAGTGGGCACAACTGCTCTGGGGGGCCTGTCTGGGTGCTCCCCTTTGCTCCCTTGCCGCCCCCTCCTTCCATCTTAGTGTAGTAATAAAACTAGCTGTGGGAGGGAAGGGAGTGAGGAGTAAGTGCTGGCAGCTTCCTGGCACCGAGGGCTGACGGGCTATGCAATGTGATGCAGTGAGGGCGGGGCTGCCCGGGAACCAGCGTTTCCCCTTCTGTCCAGCTCATTGCTGGGGACGATGTGTGCGTGATAAATACCACCTGACGGTGACCAGAGTCACCTGCAGTGGGACCTCATAGCCAGCATTATCCTTCACATGCCGATTTTCCACCATTAGCTGCCCCCAACAAGCTGCCCTCTTCAAGGGGGCGCTCCTGGCGCTGTCCACGCTCCTTCACGGGAGGATGATCTAACCCCTCCCGCCGGGTGGCAGCCGCCTGGGGTGTCAAGGGCAGACACTCAATAGTACGGGAACCAGAGCTTAAGTATGTGTCACCTCGCCCTTCTGGAGGAAACCTGGGAGACACAGGTCCAAGGCGTGGGAGCCTCTTCAGTTTAGATTGTGTGCAGTCAGTGTTTCAGCCTGCCCTCCTTCTCCAGAAACGGTGGTGGATGAAAAGCCTCTCCTGGGTCTGTTACATTACCCCCAAGTGCGAGAAAATCCCCCTAAAATGGCATTTCTACTTTAGGATAACCTAAGACCGATAATTACACAGCTATTTCATTACAATTGACAGAGTGGCGCGTGGGTGTGCGCATGCGCACACACGTGCAATGAGCACCAATAGCATGAGCTCAGCCCTCCCCGGGGGCAGGGGGGTCCCCTGGGGAAGAGACACTTCAGGGGAGGCTTGAGGATGAGCAGGGGTTTCCCAGCTCAGGGGCCAGCATGCGTGGCATCCCTGGGGCCCCTCAGAGTTCAAGTTCACAAGGTGGCCGAGGTGGAGGGGCAGCTTCCCTCTGGGTTTGCAGGAGCAGCTGAAGGCTCTGCCGAGTTTTCAGGATAAAGCAGGACCCATGCCCAAGGATGGCCACAGGCTGTTGTCCAGAGCCCAGGCCAGGGTCGGCCCCCCGGGGGGTTAGCTAAATCCACAGTGCTGCAGGCAGCCTTCCGGTGACCAAATGTGAGAGAAAAGAAAAACGGGGTGGGGGGTGGGGGGTGGGAAGGAAGATAAGATATTAAAAGGAAGTAGAGGGAAGACAAGCAGGAACATGTTGGGAAAGTCTCTGTGCTCGGTGCCCAGCAGGGAGCACCGAGGCCTGGGGTCCCCCACCCCCCTCGGAGAAAGTCATGACCCTTAACCAGAGCCCGTGGACCAACTGTGGTTTCCTGAGAGCAGAGAACTAGGTGATGTCTCTATGAGGCCAGGCGCAGAGCCGGTGCGACCTCCTGGTTCCTTGAGTCCTGCATCTGCGGCCTTGATCCAGGACACTGTCAGGCCCCCCAGTCGAAGGTCTGGGCCACCGCTTAGGGTCAGCAAGACCCATAGCTTGAGTTGTTTGACCGCAAGTCCAGGGAGCCGTACTCACCAGCAGCAGGCACGTCAGTGTGCATGAGGGCCCAGTGGAATCCGACTCGACTGTGTTCATCACATCACGGATGAGGAGACTGAGGCCCAGAGCAGAGTTCGGCCCATGGCTGGCCCCACAGGGAATCGATGGCAGAGAAATTCTGTTTTAGCACCACCGCCCCACCCTCCACCCCGCCCCAGTTCCTGGGCACTAAGTTCCGGCTTCTTTCTAGAACATTCTGCCACAGCTGGGGCTCAAACTGTGTCCAGGGTACTCCCTGCACCTCACTCATGAGGTGAGAAGGGGCCAGGGCTACAGAAGCTTGTTAGAAATCCATAAAAATCAAATGGTGATGAGTAGATTTAGTTAGTTATTCCAGGACATAAGACCATGTTCTTCACTGTCTGGGGGATGTAGACCCTTTGGAGACTCTGCAGAAAGCTGTGGACTCTCTCCTCTGGATGAAAAAAATACCCGCAAGTCCTAACGTACAGAACAGTGCAGGCCATTTCAAGATGCGTGGACCTTTGCAAGTCTTCCACGGATCCTCCGTGGCAGCGTTTCCTGGAGCCATCCCAGCCCCGGCGTCAGGTTTCAGATTTCTTGGATGTGCATCAGGATCGTCTGGGGCTCTTGTAACCCAGGCAGAGCCTGAGCCCAATCCCAAAGCTGCCGAGTCCACCAGGGCAGGGCCCTTACCACAGTCACCTAATGCCCACCAGGACCCAGGTCAACGCCTGGTGCTCAACTCACCTTGATCACTCAAACCATGATCTTGTTCTCAGCTCAATCTCCACCTTCAGAAAAATTCCCAAGGGGCCTCACAAAAGTTATTGAGAAGGGAGAAGACCCTATACATTGTGCAGGAAGAAGACAGCCAGTAAACAAGAAGCTTCCAAGGACACCTTTGTGTCCCCTCTGGCAAGGGATGGCCTGACTTTTACGTGGTGATATGATTCTCCTGACACCCAGAAGGCAGCTAGAGAAGCTCAGTGAGGTGGTACCTTGGGTCTGTGGAGGCCGCGCCAGCGCTCTGACTGATTCAGACGCCCAGACGGCTGGGAGTCAGGTCTCCATGGTCCTCTGCAGCAGTCAGAGTGGCAATAGTTCTGTCCCTGGGGGCCAGTCACCAATGGTGCTTAACAGAGAAGCTTAGCTCTGCAGAGCACATCTCTGCCTTCTCCACGCATCCCTTTCTGCCCCCCAAAGGTATGTCCACATCCTAAACCCCAGAACCTGTGAATGTGACCTTATTTGTAAAAAGGGTCTTTGCAGATGTGATTAAGTTAAGGATCTCAAGATGAGAACATGCTGAATTATTCAGGTGGGCTCTAAATCCAATGAGAAGCATCTTTGTAAAAGAGAGAAGGCACAGACACAGAGAAGCCACAAGAAGACGGAGCCACACACCGGAGTGATCTGGCCACAGCTCAGGAGGGCCAGGAGCCACCAGGAGCCACCAGGAGCTGGAAGAGGCGAGAGAAGCATTCTCCCTTAGAGAGGGAGAGTGGGAGTACAGCCCTGCTGAAACCTTGATTTTGGATTTCTGGCCTCCAAAACTGTTGGAGAATAAATTTCTATTGTTTAAACCACCAAGTTTGTGGTAATTTGTTATGGCAGCTTCAGGAAACTAATACATCCCTCAAGCCATTCCCTGGGCAGTTCAGCATGCAGGAATGGTGGGTGGTGCTGATGGCGGGTAGTGGGTGGTGTTGATTTGGTGGGTGCTGGTGGCGGGAGGCTCAGAAGTCACTCGCGTCTCCTGAGGAAGTGGCAGGAAGATCCAGGCCCTAAGGAGCTGCTCAGCTTAGAGGTGATCAGGGTAAAACCAGCATAAAAGAGAACTCGAGTAGGAATTTCCTTTTTTGCAATCTCCTTTTACTTAGAAACTTCAGCAAGGAGGAAATATTCATTCATCCATCCATCCATCTAAAAAATATGTATTAAGCACCTACTATGTGCCAGGACACATTCCCTTTGTGCTTCAGCTTTCCCAGTTCCATTTCTCCCTGGGGTTTCTGAGGGGGTGTTTTGGGTGCAAGAGGCTCACCCCAGTGACTGACCACACACATTCTGGCACCCACTATGTTCTCAGCAGCACTGGGCTGGTGCTGGGGAAGGCAGAAGGTGTGTTGCCTGTGGTCTCTGATGTTGATGAATTCACATTCCAGCTGGAATCTCGTGGAGTTAAGTCACCCAAGACAGGGAGCTCAAGCGAGTGCCCAGCCTGGAGCCCTGCAAGGCGGAGTCTGTACCTGTCCTGTTCCCTGAGGACCCCCGTGCCTCACATGGGGCCTGGTGTTCGGCAAGTGTTTAAATAAAGTTGGAAGGGTGAACAAATGAGTGAATGAATGAATGAGTGAAAGAGGGAAGTGGGCAGAGTTCACCTGGCCTCACGTGGTCAAGGAAGGCTTCTCAGGCCAGGTAAGTCTTGAATGTGGCCTGGAAGGATCGAGATGTGGGGGGACGGAAGGGAGTGGCAGGAGGGAAAATGGTGTCAGCAGAGGTGGAGGAGGTTTTGCCTCCTGGGCTTGGCGCCGCCTGAGTGTGGAGGTGAAAACCAAAGGAGATGCTTAGTGGCTGGGTCCGATGGACTCTCCTAAAAGCCAACTCAAGCAAACGCTTACCGCCCACGCGGAATGGGTCTTTAGAAAGAGAAGGGAATTGGACTTATTCTGTACCCACAAAATCCCCAAGAAGGACACGGGAGTCGATGGGGAGGGGAGTTCCGGCTCTCAGAATGCCGAGAAGCAGGGTGTCCTCTGCAGAGCTTGTCCTGCCCACGGCTGGCATCTTCAGCAATGTTATAATAACAGACTCGCTGTGTGCCCGGCTCAGGGCACTTATTTCACACAAGCCTCAGAACATCCGGATGTTGTCTCCATCTTACAGATGGGGAGACAGAGGCCCAAAAAGGTCCAGTCACCTGCCCCAGGTCGCACAGACTGACCCCAGCACTGTGGGCCTCTAGGCCCAGATCTTCATCGATAAACTCCACTCTCTCTTAATAAATGCTCATGAAACGAGTCAAGCGAGAGTCACTGCTGGGAACATCGTGGCTCCTATCCCACACACACGCCCTGTCCTCCTAAAATAGCAAGCTCAGCCAGAGAAGAGGATCCTAATTACAACTCAGGCCTCAAGCTGTGTGTGGTCACGACCCTACGGACCCCCGGAGTCAAAGGATGAAGAGCTATGGAGCAAGGAATTCCTTCTGAGATGCTTCTAAATTAAGCCATCTGCGGCCTGTCTCTGCCTGGAGCTAAGAAATTGTAACGGCTCTGGCAGGAGACAGCCTTGCTGAATGGAGCTGAGTCGCTCTAAGGTCAATGCAGGTAAATAAGAGGCGAGCGTCCTGGCCTGCCAGCAGCCCTGGGAGCAGGGTGGGCAGGGGTTGGCAAAGGTGCTGGTCCTGTTTGAGGGGGGAGCATCTAAACAGCATTGCCCAAATAAGGACCAGGTGCC